GTTGCACTGAGCCGAAAGTGGCACCACGGCACTCCAGCCTGGGCGACAGAGCAAAGCTCTATTGCACACAAAAAAAAAAGAAGAAGAAGAAGAAGAAGAAGAGAAGAGAAGACAAGACACTTCACAACATGACACGACTTTGCTGGGGTCAGTAGCGTGATCACAGCTCACTGAAGCCTCAACCTCCTGGCCTTAGGTCGTCTCCCCAACTCACACTCCTAAGTAGCTGGGACTAGAGGTGTGCCACCATGCCTTGCTAATTTTTGTACTTTCTGTAGAGACAGGTTTTCGTCGTGTTGCCCAGGTTATTCTCAAACTCCTTGGCTCAAGTGATCCCCCTGCCTCTGCCTCCCAAAGTGCTGCGATTATAGGCATGAGCCACTGCACCCAGCCACTATTATGTATTTAATCTCCCTGCTCCTTGAAGCAAGAAGAGCACTGCTCATTTCTGGATTCACAGCAGCAAAGTGCCTGGCACCTGGTGGGGACTCCACCAGGAGGTCGTATAAACCCCATAGAGCGCGATTCAGCACTCACTGCTGAGGCTGGAAATGTACACTCCGCCCGCCGACTCAGAGGTTCCCTTCCCCGCCCACAGCTATGGCAGCACCCCCTGCAACTTCACAGGAGAAAGGAACTCAGCTCAAATGCCCAACATGAGAGAGTAGATAAATTGGCTTGTCACCAATGGATTGCTCTATAGCAATTCACAGGAAAGAAACATCTCTACATATCGATAGAAATAAATCAAAACTCTGTAACGTGGTGTCCTGGATGAATCCTGGCACAGGAGAACATATGAGGAGAAACTGTTAAAGTCCAAATAAATTCTGGAACTTAGATAGTGATGTGGTAATGTTAATTTCTCCGTTTTGGCAAAGGCATCATGGCAATATAAAACAGAAACAGGCTGGGCATGGTGGCTCACACCTGTAATCCCAGCACCTTGGGAGGCCAAAGTGGGCAGATCACTTGAGGTCAGGTGTTCGAGACCACCCTGGTTAACATGGCGAAACCCTGTCTCTACTAAAAACACAAAAATCAGCCAGGCGTGGTGGTGCGTGCCTATAGTCCCAGCCACTTGGAGGGCTCAGGTATGAGAATCACCTGAACGCAGAGGCTGCAGTGAGCCAAGATCACGCCACCGCACTCCAGTGTGGGCGGCAAAGCAAGACCCTCTCAAAAAAAAAAAAAAGAAAAATGTGTAAACAGGAGAAGGGTGTACAAAAACCCTGTGTTCCTCAAATAGAAGACTAGCAATTCTTCTCTAAGTTAAAATGGATTCAAAAACTAAATGTTTAAGAAAAATGCTGAAAATGACAAAATTAAGTTGTAAAAAGTAAAAATGTATACAAATGTTAATGACCTTTTTAAAAGATACAAACCAATTATCATGGGTACCTGTGCATTAAAAGTATGAAAACATAAAACGGAAGGTTACATAGCAACTTCAGGAAATGGTCATTTCTGGGAGAAATGGCAGAGGGCATTATACCTGTGTCTGTAACATTTAAACAAGAAAACGAAAGAGCAAGCAAATGTGATGGGAAAAAAAGTTAACAAATGGCAAAACTGGGCAGTGGATACATGAGTATCTTTTATATTATTTTCTATGGTTTGCTATCTATGTTTGAAATATTTTATAATTTCAAAACTCAAACAGATATTAATTAAACTACTAACTACCCCATTAATGAATGAAAAATCACAGATACAAAAAAGACAGGGCGGAGGGGGGCAGTCCTCGTCACCATAAAAAGCCAGGTCCTGTGGTTTTCTGGCTATTCCTGAGACTAGCAATGTTTGTGAGGAACTCCCACTCAGGGAATTCATCCATGATCTTCTCCCTGTAAAATCACAATACAGTCGGTAAGACACAGCCTCTTTAGGGGATAGCAGGACACAACCTATTAAAACGTTAAATGTGCCTACCTAGGAATTCCACTTCTAGGAACCCCTTCTTACAGATATAACAGTATACACACACAAAGATGCAAATATGAGCTGGGCATCATGGCTCCTATCTGTAATCCCAACACTTTGGGAGGCTGAGGCAGGAGGATTGCTGAAGTTCAAGACGACCAGCCTGGGCAACACAATAACACCCATGTCTACAAAAAATACAAACTTAGCTGGGGATGTGGCATATACCTAGAATCACAGCTACTCTGGAGGCTGGAGTGGGCGGATCACTTAAGCCTAGAAGTTCATGGCTGCAGGGAGCTATGAATGCACCACTACACACCAGCCTGGGCACTTTGGGAGGCCAAGATGGGCAGATCACTTTGCATGACAGCAAGACCCTGTCTTTAAAAAAAGAAAAAAAAAAAAGCAAATGCAAGGAGATTTCCATTCTGGATGACTGCAAATGACCTTTGTTCACCAATAAGGGCCTAGTGAAATAAACACAGTCATATTCTGAGACACTGGGCAGCCGTTAAAAATAAAATAAAATAAAAATAAAATAAGGCCGGGGGTGGGGAGGGCAGCTCACAACTATAATCTCAGCAGCACTTTGGGAGGTCAGGGCAGGAGGAATACATACATGAGCCCAGGAGTTCAAGGCCAGCCTGGGCAACATAGTGAGACTTCATCTTAACATAAAATTTAAAAAATTAGCCAGGCGTGGAGATGCTATGGTCCCAGCTATTTGCAAGGCTAAGGTGGAAGGATCACTTGAACCCAGGAAGTTGAGGTGGCAGTGAACCACGATTGTGCCACTGCTCTCCAGGCTGGGAAACACAGTGAGACCCTGTCACTAGGGGAAAAAAAAAAAAAAGAGTGAAAAGATCCATGTGTACTAAAGAGACAGATGTCCCGAAAATCACAAAAGGAAAGCCAGGCTGCTGAGCAGTGTGTACCATAGGTTCCTATTTTTGTTTAAAAAGCTGCACATTGGCCGGGCACGGTGGCTCACACCTGTAATCCCAGCATTTTGGGAGGCCGAGGCGGGTGGATCACGAGGTCAAGAGATCGAGACCATCCTGGTCAACATGGTGAAACTCCGTCTCTACTAAAAATACAAAAATCAGCTGGGCATGGTGGCGCGTGCCTGTAATCCCAGCTACTCAGGAGGCTGAGGCAGGAGAATTGCCTAAACCCAGGAGGCGGAGGTTGCGGTGAGCCAAGATCGTGCCATTGCACTCCAGCCTGGGTAACAAGAGGGAAACTCCGTCTCAAAAAAAAAAAAAAAAAAAAAAGCTGCACATAAGCATGTATGTATGTATACACCTAGGAAAGACAAACACACACACTAAACACTTAATACTGTTTACCTCCAGGATTTGAGAAAGGAAGTAATTTTCTTTTTAAATACTTACTCATATTGTTCGAGTTTATTGTAATAAGCTGACATTTTCAAAACAATATATCAAGAATAAGGCAACGAGTCTGTGCCCTTTGTAGAGACACAGATAAATCTAGAAACCATCATTCTCAGCAAACTGACCTAAAAACAGAAAACCAAGCACAGCATGTTTTCACTTATAGGCGGGTGATGAACAATGAGAACACTTGGGCACAGGGAAGGAAACAACACTCACTGGGCTAGGTGGAGGGGAGGGGAGGAGAGGGGAAGAGGGGAGGGCCAGCAGGGGTCGGGGAGGATGGGGAGGGATAACTCCTGAGGTAGGCTACGGCAGGGAGGTGGGGTGGGATGGAGACAGCAAACCACGGCACGTATGTACCTATGCAGCAATCCTGCAGGATGCAGGATGTACACATGTACCCCAGAGCCCAAAGTACAATTAAAAAAAAAGAAGAAGAAAGGAATAATGCCCTTTGTCTCAGTGTCTGCAGTGGCTAAATAAAGGAACGAAAATCTGGACAGGCATGGTGACTCACACTTGTAATCCCAGCACTTCGGGAGGCCAAGGCAGGTGGATCACTTGAGGTCAGGAGTTTGAGACCAGCCTGACCAACATGATGAAACCCTGTCTTTACTAGATACAAACAATTAGCCAGGTGTGGTGGCACATACCTGTAATCCGAGCTACTTGGGAGGCTGAGGCTGGAGAACCACTTAAACCCGAGAGGCAGGGGTTGCAGTGAGCCAAGATTGTGCCATTGCACTCCAGCCTGGGCAACAAGAGCAAAATTTCATCTCAAAGAGAAAGAAAGAAAAAAGAAAAGAACACCTGAAAACACAGGAATAGCCATGTGCGTGGAAGAGTAGCCAAATAAAAGATGGTTCAACCACACCACAGGCACAACCAGCAGAAAAGACAGATCAGAATCTCTGTATCAGCTGAATTGGAGAAATTTCCTGAGCCACTGTTGAATGACAAAGGTGAGTGCAGAGCACGTGGTTGGTAAAACAAGAAAGAAATGCAGAGAGCCAGTGGAGAAGACGGGGTGCTCCAGAGGGCACACACCGTGTTTATCAGAGCTGGCAACATTCTAGGTCTGGATCTGAATGATAGTTTTACAGTGGCTCATCTTATAATTATTCATTATTCTGAATAATATGTGTTGCTTAAAAAAAATGTAAAAGCTTAAAAGCACAAGAAAAGGTGAATGCAGCACAGGCTCTCAGATGATCACGCATCCACAGCTCACTGACCCCATTCTCAGCGGCTCTTTCTCCGGGCCCTTTACTTTTAGACAAACCTACAGCACGCACTCTGTGGCCACAGGGCCTTGGTACGAGCCAAGACTCAAAACCCAAACTCCGGAGGCACTCGTTCTTCCCTCTACACCACACTGCCTGGGTGAATCCAGACCTAATGCCAGGCCTGAACAAAACCAACACAAACAAACAAGAAACCAAAACAGCGGGCCAAACAGCAGGACACGTGCAATTTCACCCAGGGAAGACATCTCTAGTGGTGAGTCCCAGGGCTCTGGCCTTTCTTAGTTCCCTTTTTATTTTTCTAAGTCCCAAAACTCAGAAAAGGAAAAGGAATGCAAGTTAAGGGGCAGGAAATTCACATTTAAGGAAACCTTCTATGTACCAGACTTCACCAGACACTCAGGAAAATGCTGCACCATTCAATACTCACTGCAGCTCCGGAGGGCCAAGACTGTAAACACTGGCTGCTCTGTGAGGAAACTGAGTCTCAGACGACTTTTATAGCTTGCTTAAGGTCATATGAGCAGGTTTTCTCAGGACCCTCTGCTGACCCCCAAGGACTCGCTGATCAAAACTGCAGCTCATAAAAGCAAAGGAAGAGGCACCACGCCACAGCACAGAATAAAAAATGAAGGTTCTCAACAGTCTGAAACAGATTTCACAAGTTGTCAGCCTGTGAACTGCATCAGGGTGCAGGCTGTTTTGTTAGGTCAAGATCATGTTGCTTATTTGTGTGTTTCAATGAGTCAATGCTTTTTTTAAATGAGGAGGTTTCATAGTAACAACCTGTATTTCCAGCTGCAGAGCTGTGGACCCTCAGTCTGAGCGTGAGGTAGGATCTGTCCACTTTATACCAGGTGTGCATACACCAGCTCCCCATTAACCACGATTCCCAACACCCTTCTATCTTTCTCCCTCTGCAGTCTGTGTTTATTGTCATTTGTCCCCTTGATGCAACCCGCTTCCCTTACTGAGATCACCTGTCCGGCTTCCTACAGGTATTTGTGTTTCTGAAACAGAGGAGGTAGGATTTTAAAGAAATAAATGCATGTCAGGCGCAATGACTCATGCCTGTAATCCCAGCACTTTGGGAGGTTGAGGTGAGCAGATCACCTGAGGTCAGGGGCTCAAGATGAACCTGGGCAACATGGTGAAACCCTGTCTCTATTAAAAAAACAAAAATCAGCAGGTATGGTGGCACACTCCTGTAATCCCAGCTACTTAGGAGGCTGAGCACAAGAATCACTTGAACCCAGAAGGGAAGGCTGCAGTAAGCCAACATCATGCCACTGCACTTCCAGCCTAGGCAACAGAGTAAGATCTGTTTCAAAAAAAAAAAAAAGAAAAGAAAAAGAAATAAATGCAAAGTCTTACGCTTGTGTCTGAAAACTCAACTGTACCTGCACAAAAGGAATCAGAGCTTCAAAACAACAGCCAAGCATGGCTCATGCCTGTTATCCCAGCACTTTGGGAAGCCAAGACAAATGAATTGCTTGAGCCCAGGAGTTCAAGATCCGTCTAGGCAACATGGTAAAGCCCCAGCTCTACCTAAAAAAAAAAAAAAAAAAAAAAATGTAAAACATAGCTGGGCACGGGAGCATGTACCTGTGATCCCAGCTACTTGGGAGGCTGAGACGAGAAGATCACTTGATTCTGGGAAGCTGAGGCTGCAGTGAGCCATGGTTGTGCCACTGCACTCCAGCCTTAGTGGCAGAGTGAGACCCTGTCTCAAAACAAAAACAAACTCCAGCAATCCTCTATAATGTACAAGACATTAATTAACCAAGCACCTTGCCAAGTGTCGCATTATGGGAGGAGTCCTCTGAGTCTTCTTTCAGCACAAGGTCAACAGAGAGATGCAGCCCTGGGCCACAGCACGAGCACGGGGCTTGGGAATCCGCAGAACACGAGCAAATTCCGGGAAGCTCAAAGTAGAGGTAAGTCCAGGACCACGTGTCCTGTCTTCAGTCATCTCATCAAATCCACAAAAGGCAGGAGGCTGGTTCTGCAGATCTCTAGCAGTGAGAAACCAAGACCTCAAATGGATACAGGAAGAAGAACTATTTAAAAACCCACAAGTTACTCAAAATTGTCTCTGGCGGCCTTGAGAGTCATACTAGAAAATGATAGTGGAGCTATTCCAGCTAAGTGGCTTTGGAAAGGTTCTTGCTACTTTTGGAAACTCAGTTTTCCCATCTATAAAGTGGGTAGACACATCAAAAAGCATGAGGAGGGTTTATTTGTTATTTTTTTTTTCAGACAGAGTCTTGCTCTGTTTCCAGGCTGGAGAACAGCAGCATGATCTTGGCTCACTGCAACCTCTGCCTCCCAGGTTCAAGCAATTCTCCTGCCTCAGCCTTCCAAGTAGTTGGGACTACAGACACGCACCACCACACCCAGCTAATTTTTGTATTTTGAGTAGAGAAGGGGTTTTGCCATGTTGGCCAGTATGGTCTTGAATTATTGGCCTCATGATCCACCCACCTCAGCCTCCCAAAGTGCTGGCATTACAGGTGTGAGCCACTGCACCCAGCCTGAGGAGGATTTTTAAAATCAGAGAACGTGGTTAATGAGTGGCTGCTGCTATCATGATTTTAAGTACTGAGTATTGTAGAAAAGCTTCCTCTAACAAGCATGGCTATCACTGACTGAACATGTGTTATTCTAAGTGTTTGGTTTATTAACACATTGAATTCTGAATCACTGCTGGGAGATAGGCCCACCTATTATGCCAATTTTATCAGTGAGGACACTGAGGTACACCAGGTCAAACACTTTGACCTCAAGTTCTCGCTGGCAAGTGCAGAGCTGGAACTGGAGCCCCAGGTGCTCACCCGTTCCCCCCTACACTGTCCTGCCTCCTGCTGCACCAGTGTGAGCACACAGATTGTACTGGACGCTCTTCTCAGTTCCCTCATCTCTGAGCCTGGGATCTTGGAGCCCTGCCATGGCAGAGGGAAGCACATCTCCAGACAGGGATGAACCCCTCAGAACCACGAGGTGGACATGATGCCAGAGATGGAGGTGGGAAAGGGGCCCAGGAGGACTCTAGCTGTCTGGCAAAGGCACCTGGCTGGGTGGTGGTACCTCTTACCAAAATGGGAAAGACTGGAGCAGTAAAAAAGGCAGAGATCTCAGTTGTTTTGGTGACAAGTCCCATGATGGACAGATTGAGTTTGAAATATTTACTAGATACCCAGTGGTGACTAGACAACACTTCCAGAGCTCCTACTCCAAATTCAAAGCTCCTTCCAACAACGTCTGAGAAACTTTCTCAGGTCCCCCCAACTGATTTCTACGTCATCTTTTTCTACGATCCCCCCAACGCCCTGTGTGACGATCTTAGCCTGTCATTTTGTCTCTGTCTCCCTTAGACTTGGACCCCTGAATGGCAAGACCTTGCCTTGGTCAATCTGGTGACAAGTAGAGTGTCCAGCATGGTAGGGGCTCAGCAAATATTCACCTAATGGGTCAAGGAAAGAGATCTGAGGAGGTGCTTATGCAGGATTATGTTTGTTTCCTATTAGGTTAGTGCAAACGCTATCACAATTTTTGCCATTAAAGGCAAAGTACAATTAAACTGCAATTATATTTGCACCCTCCTAATATTACTGCTCTGAAAGATTAGAGCATCGCCTCAAATCTAATCTACAAGATGAGAGCAGTAATAGGAAACAGACAGCCAGGAACGGTGGCTCATGTCTATAATCCGAGCACTTTAGGAAGCCGAGGTGGGTGGATCACTTGAGGTCAGGAGTTCAAGACCAGCCTGACCAACATGGAGAAACACTGTCTCTCCTAAAAAAAAACAAAATTAGCCAGGTGTGGTGGCACATGCCTGGAATCCCAGCTACTGGGGAGGCTGAGGTAGGAAAATCTCTTGAACCTGGGAGTCAGGTTGAAGGGGGGCGGAGGCTGCGGTGAGCTGAGATGGCGCTACTGCACTCCAGCCAGGGCAACAAGAGTGAAACTCCATCTCAAAAAAAAAAACGAAACAAACACAATCCTGAATCAGCATCACTGAGGCCAGGATGGCCCCACAAGCCTAGTGGCTTACAACAACACAAATTTACCATCTTGCAGTTACGCAGGTCTGATTTCTAAAACGGGTCTCACTGGGCTAAGACCAAAACCAAGGAGTCAGCAGGGCTGGGTTTCTTCTGGAGGCTTCAGAGGGGAAATCCACCCATTGCCTTTCCCAGCTCTAGAGGCCACCTACATTTCTTGGCTTGTGACCCCTTCCTCCCTCTACCTTCAAAGCCAGTATCTTGCAATCTCTCCCTGACTCTGACCTCCTACCTCCCTCTTCTAAAGATCCTTGTACTTACATTGGGCCTACCTAGGTCATGCGGGAGAACCTCGCCATCTCAAGATCTTTCCCTTAATCACACGTGCAAAATCCCTTCTGCCACATAACGTAACATATCTACAGGTTCAAAGGATTAGGATGTGACTACCTTTGGGGGTCTATGTAGGGAGTCACCATCCAATGAAAGGTGATGTCCATGGGAAAGAACAAGGCCAGAGGTCACATGGTGGCAGCTGTGAGAGGATCTTAGCCATCCTGGCCTCAGTGTTGCTCTTTAATTATAATCTCTAAATCTGTATACTCAGTCCCTCCCACAACCCCTTATCTCACCAAGTGGCACATGAGGAACATGGTGAGAAGCCCTGAGAGAGAGCCAGACATGATCCCAACAAAAAGTCCCAAAGTCCCAGCCAGACCTGACTCCACAAAAGCTGGAGGCGCTTTCCAACAGTCCAGCCCCAGGGGCTGTTTGCTGACAAATCACAAGAAAATAGTTCGCTGGGGCCAGGTGCAGTAGCTCACGCCTGTGATCCCAGCACTTTGGGAGGCTGAGGCACGTGGATCACTTGAGGCTGGGAGTTCGAGACCAGCCTGGCCAACATGGTGAAACCCTGTCTCTAGCAAAAATACAAAAATTAGCCTGGTGTGGTGATGATACGCGGGAGGCAGAGGTATGAGAATCGCTTGAAACTAGGAAGCTGAGTCAGGAGAATCCCTTGAAGAGGGAGGTGGAGGTTGCAGTAAGCCAAGATCATGTCACTGCACCCCAGCCTGGGGTGACACAGCAAGACTCCATCTCAAATAAAAAGAGGGGAGGGAATGGGATGGGAGGGAATGGGATGGGAGGGGCCAATCACAGTGGTAGAGCTGGGTGTGGACGTGCTGATTGGCCAGGCTGGGGTACCACTCATCCCTTGAGTGGAGGAGGTGGGGTCTGCCCAAGTGAGAAATCAGGGTGTTGAGACTCACAGGAGGGGTGTGGAGTCAGGGTGGGCCACTGTTACTCCCATTCCCCAGGCAAGGACTCTGAGGAGAGAGAGGAGGAGAAGGGAAGGGAGGGGAGGGGAGGGGAGGGGAAGGAAGGGGAGGGTAGTTGGCTGGGTGCAGTGGCACATGCCTGTAATTCCAGCACTTTGGGACACTGAGGTAGGAGGATTGCTTGAGGCCAGGAGTTCGAGGCCAGCCTGGGTAACATAGAAAGACCCTGTCTCTACAGAAAAAAACAAAAACAAAAATTAGCTGGGCATGGTGGCGCACACCTGTAGTCCCAGCCAAATGAGAGTGTGAGGCAGGAAGATCACTTGAGCTCAGCAGTTTGAGGCTACAGTGAGCTATGATCACACCACTGCACTCCAGCCTGGGCAACAGAGCCAGATCCTGTCTCTAAAAAGTAAACAAGAAAACAGTCATCTCAAAGCCTTAAACACAAACCCAAGCTAGACAGGGAGGGGCTTCCTTCCGAGATCAGACAGTGCGGCCCCCGCCCCCACCCAATCTTCATCTGGACTCCCATGTGGTGAGGGGTGAGGGGTGGGGAGCAGCATTTCGGGGACTGGCCAGACAGGAAGCCTGGCCTCTGCTGGCAAGCAGCTCACTTCTGTGTTTCTGTTGAGAGAGGAAGCCTCTCTGCAGCAGCTCCCATGGCCGCAGGGGTTCACCAGGTGCCCAACCACAGAGACCCAGTCTCCAGGTAAATCCCCCAGGAAGCCAGACCTCCCCTAGGCTGGACTGCAAACAGTCCATCCAAGTCAGAAGCGAAGAAACATAAAAATGACCATC